GAAAAAGAAAAGAAAAGAAAAGAAAAGAAAAGAAAAGAAAAGAAAAGAAAAGAAAAGAAAAGAAAAGAAAAGAAAAGAAAAGAAAAGAAAAGAAAAGGAGTAATGAATCTGGGTGTGTAATTTATATATGAGGGAAAGTTTAAACCAATGTGATTGGCAAGAATACAATGTTACTAAAAGCCACAGACATGCTAATTGGTGAGTCATTTAAGTAAACCCTATTGATCTTGTAGGTTTGCCAATTTTCAATTTTCACTTTTGCTTGAAACAGCTCAGAAAATAAGACTTAACCAGAAACTCATGATCAGTGACTTTTTCATCCAATTTTTCAGCAAATGTAACTCATCTATCTTGAGAGGTGCTTTTGTTTGACCAAGGGAACAGTCACAGAGCTTTCCTTGACTCACCTAAGCCTCCCCTAGCATTGGCTGGAGTTGCACACTTGGAGCAGACCACATTCTATGTGCTTTCCATATTCCCATTATTTCCAAATTTCCATTGCAGCTGCAAATCAAGATATTCTTCTCAACCATCATGTCCACTGCCAGCAGTCCTAGGTGTATGAGAAATAATCACCAGAGGCCTGTGGCACCTCTGCCACGCCACTGCAGAGGCGGGGGATTCTAAAAGGTCAGGCTTGTCTCAGCTCAATTTTCTGCAGAAAATTCTCAGATCTGTGCATCACAGATCTGAGCTGCTCAGAAATTTGCCTGACACTGTCAGTTTGAAGTCAGTAAAGGAATGAGACTGATGTTTAGTGTTTCAAAGATGGGTGTAGTTTGACAATTCATCTAAAGGAACAAAAAAAACACCATTACCCCATTAACCCCTTCATCCTTTACTATTTGGGCTGAATCTAAGGCAAATTTGATAGAGTGGCTAAAGCAGGTATGCCTTAACATCCACCCTGCTCCTCTATCACAGGTGAGGAAAGTCTTGTCCAGCTTGAAAGAAGCACCATCATCTGTTGGGTGATCCTGAGCTGCTGAGATAGAGGGATTGGCTCCTTCTCCCTCTCAGAGAGAGCTTCAGTAAGCAGGCACAGGCTTTCCACATTCTTAAGCAAAATATTTACTTTACAAGCGCTGAAACAAAATTTGGAAAAGTGAAGAATAATATTTATTTTGATGATGTTAAATTGCATTGAAGTCAAAAGTGAAAATTAGATGCATGCACATACACCAAGGGCATTATTCACTAATCACAGGAACATAAAAGAACTGGAAAATACCCTCTTTCATTGCCACTAGGAAAGTTGATCTGGAATAAATTACAGGCAAAATGTATAATTAAGCAAGCTATTATTATCCAGTGTCTTAGCAGATGCTGACCTCGTTTATGGTGACTGGGACAAGAATTCAAGGTTTGATTTCACAGCTGTGTCCATGATGCCTTGGACCTGTTGTATTGCCCCAGAAATTCCCAGAGTGTTAGCACTGTACCTAAGTGTGCTGCTTATGGATTCCTATCCTCCTCAGCTGCTGACTGGGGAAATTTTCTTTAGCTTCTTGGAAACGAAAAAATTGTTTCACTGATCTGTCAGCCAGGCTTTATACTTGAAACCTGTGTTTAATTACTTTGAAGAAGCTTTAATATTCTACCAGTACAAGGAGGGGGGACCTTCCACTGCATGAGGCTATTCTCTTATTTTTATTTTTTGCAGGTGTAAGCTTGTGGCTTAGTTACTGAAATAATAATTATGTTGAAAATATCCTTGGCATGAGAAATGAGCTGCCAAAGAGTTATGGGCACAGTAATTTGTACATGGAAATGAGGATCCAGGGAACAACATGAACATCAGTGTCCTGAGGAGCTTATGATTAAAACATTATGCTGAGCTTTTATGATTTCTACAGCTAATTAGCAAGATTTATAAGTATCTTAAAAAAAAACAAAGCCAAGTCTGAATACAGAAATGATCCTTATTTTCCACTTGGGGCAGAAAACTGCTGGGTTCTAAAATAGTGGGGAAATAAAGAGAGGGAAAACACCTTCATCTTTTCATGCGTCCACAGTTTACACTAATTGCTCCTCTCTTTTCCGTAGGATGAGTGGATGGCTCTCAGGTGTCAAGCATGAAGTCTGTGACTTATTCACATCTTGTTGATTTCATAAAGAAAAGGTTTCCTGCTGTTATGGATTCAGACTAGCACCGGTTTTGTTTTCCAGAGGCGTGCTGGGGGAATGCAAGGTGTCTGAAAAAGCCACTTCCACCACTATATACTTGGTTGCTTCTGCTCCCCAGGGGTGCAAAAGGAAAAGGAGGGGCGTGGGAGGAAAGAAGGAATACCAAGCTAGTCTGTAGAGGAATGAAGGGCTTAGTCTGCAGCCACAGACCTGTGAGGACCTCTGCTGCTCCCAGGAGGGTTCTGGCTGGCAGCACCTGCACGATCTGCTTGGGAAGTTCATGGTGTGCATGGAAGGGCTGTGCCCTTTCCCTACAATTTTTGCATTTTCAGTAGCCCAAACATCTCCATGTAATCATGGACAGAAACCCCTGGCCAGTGTCATAAAACTCTTCTGTTCTGTCTAGACAAATCCTTCAGCCAGAACAGGAGACACACTCCAGAAAACGGGATTGCGCGGACATCTCATTGCATAGGATGAGCCGTGCTCTAAGTGAGATAAAGACTGATGATCATTACTGAAACCATGGCAAAGGAATTGCTTCAATGCAGACCCAAAGCAACTGAAGCCAGATGTGATGACTGGTTTTGTGATGGTTGTAGCTAGCTCCTGTGTGCAGAACAGCTGAGATTTCACCCAGAACACAGCTGGTTGTTTCGGCCAGGGTGTTCCTGGTTCAGCTTTGCCTTTGGGAAGAGACTCTCCAGGCACTGTGGGCATTGCCCTTTGCCAGAATCTGCACTCCTTGTGTTTCTAGACAAGAGTACAAGGACCACAGGTGGGTCTGTGCTCCCCCAGCTGGGAACTGTGACCTGTGGTGGAGGACTGAGAGCTGCACTGGCCCCTCAGCTGCCTGGGCACAGAACTACATGTAGGGACGTACTCTGTGTACAGCCCTTTAAGGCAAATGTGACCTTCAGAGGATTGTACTTCACTTTTTGGTGGCTGCAAACATCTAGTGACAGACACAACATCTTCATATATCCCTGGGAAGTGCTTTACCAATTCTGTATGTCACCACAATGTCATAATTAAAAATACATTGTCTTACTGCACAGCTAGTGTCACCACAAAAGTCCATTTATAGAGTTCCACCTATTTATACTGGATCTCTATTTCCTCAGCTTAAATACATACAAATACTAGTATGCCACACTGAATAGTATCCTAGCATTTTATTATTTTTTAATGAACCACTGTCATCACCTTGTCCAGTAATTTTTTTCTCATTCCTGTATTCCTAGACAGTTGGCCTAAATGGGTATAATGGGATAAATTCCACTCCAGCATTAGTTTGGTGCTTTCATTATACAGTGCTTGGTAGCTGCTGCACTCTTGAGACAGAGAATATGCCAAAGTTTATGGTGAAACCCACACTGGAGTGGTGCCATACCCTCCATATTCAGCTACAGAGACAGTCATTTTTTTTTAACATGGAGTGGCAGCAGTTAGAAACATTTTTAAAGTGTTTCTGGTGTAGCATTAGATAGGGAGGTTAAGCCAGAGAACTTTTCACTGAAGTGGCACCTTGGTCTCCTTGGCCAGAGGTGCTTCAGACCATGGGAATATTGGGCTGGCACCTCCTACTCCAACATGTCCAGTGAGAGGAACATCAGCAGAGCTTGACTTCATCATATAAACCCAGGGCTGAATATGGATACAAAGCTCCCAAAACAGAGCTGTGGGGGAAAGAATCTCACCCTGCTGGAAAGAGGGAAGTGGAGCAAAGGCGTGGCTGAGGCAGCATTGCCAGGATGCCAGCAGAGCTAGCAGAGCTCCCTCTGCAGCAGGACAGGGAGCACCCTGTCACAGGGCAGCACCTGCATCCTCTGTCCTCCAGCACAGAGAGGGAGCCCTGCTCAGCCTCTTTTACAGGTGTGCAGGGAACTGGGGGACCCACAGCCTGCTGGGGCTCTCCTCCCAAACATGTGCACTCCAGATGGGCTAGGACTGAACACCAGCCAATATGGAATATTATTTATAATAACAATAATAACAATATTAATAACATAAGAACATCTGGTAGCATTTTTTTCTGTCTACCATTTGGCTGGAGGCAGAGCATCCGGGTGTCATGGCAGTGTATTTCTGTTTCCAATTTAGCCTCAGCTCAGCTGCTGCAGTGACCCAGAGACAGGCACTTCCAGGGACGCATCCCTGCTCCCGGTCCCGGCTGGCCCCACAGGTGTCCCACCACAGACAGCAGAAGCACCTAAGATCATCCATGCTTGGATTTCCTTTATGGGCTGTTTCACAGGAGACTGCAAGGGGGGTTTTATGCTTCCATGGCTCCTTTCCATCCTACCCTGTGAGGAAGTCACCCAACTACAACGGTGTGCGGTTTCAGACAGAAAACAAAAGCTGGCTGTTTTGAAATCAAACCAGAAGCGGCTCTATTACACATTCCATGCTATTGAAAGTATATTTGACTTAATACATATTTGACTTAATACATATTTAAACTATTTTGGTATTGTTTTGAATTCTAAGGCTTTCAAATTCATCCAGTGAGTATGCCACTTCCACCAACAAAGATTTTGGGCTTGACATGCCACTAACACCTAGCCTAAAAAATTAATGCTGTGGTTAAAAACAGGCTTTTCTTTCCTCATTATGCTGACAGAAAGCTAAAAGCAAAATTACCATGGAAGCTGAAGCTGTTGCTCCTAAAGTGTATACAGATAGCTGCAATAGGAATACTTTAGTCCATCCTGCTCATCATTAGTTTGCCCCAGCAAGTTCTAGCTGGGGAGTTGATTTCTTTGGGATCTATTGAACTGAGGGTGGATTCCTCAGCCGTGGAACAGGCTTTCACTTCAAAGCAGTTAATGCATTGTGCACGGACTCTCATCTGCTATAAATTTATACAGGTTGATGACAAACTTAAAAGGTGCACTATTAAAACTTCATGTTCAAGACTAATGTTCATTTAAGTATTTGAGTGTTCTCTCTCAAGTCACTAAAGATTGAGATTTATGTAAAGCAAATGAAGCGTCCCCCTGATGCCTTTGGAGGCACGTATCCTGTTCCTGTCCTTGGGGTCAGCCAGCTCTGCATGCATGCTCCAGGACAAGCTCTCAACTCTCATTATATTATCAAATTTGCATATGAAGTAGCAAAAGAATGCTGATAAACAGAAAATACAGACCTTTGGCTCAAAACTTGTCCAGTTATTGAAATCAGTTGCTTTACATGGCATCTGAAATAAAACCATTCCTCCTAATGCACTTTATACACCACTCTGTGAAAAGATTAAATCTAATTATTCAGCTTGACCTCCTAGTTTAGTCAGCTGAATTTGTAGGGCAATGCAAGGTTGCTCCCATCACCTTTGGCTATAGTGCTGTGATTCTTAAAATCCCTAAGATGAAAACTTCAATAGTGCAGCATTATTTGTAACTGAAAAGCCAGGAATTTGGGTTAATTCTACCTCCAGCCTCATTTTAATCCTCCCATAGGGTCCCTGTTGTCGCAAATATTATTAGCATATGAAATCTGCTGACTGCTGAAGTCTGGGGAATTACAATAATGAAGGAATTTCCACACCCTTAAATCTAACACAATTTCTGAAACAGACAGTCTGCCAATGTATATTGTAAAGCTTCCCTGCTTGGTTCAACACTCAGTGACAGTAGCCAGGAGCCTGCAGCTCTGGTACACAAATACAGGGCCAGACTTTCACCTCTTGGCCTGGAGAGGCAGTGGCTCCCTTTCCCCTTGGGGATGCTTGTGGTGCCGCCTAAGTGGGAACCCAACATCTACCTTTCTTTGGGATCTCATGGCTGGCCCTGGGTGCAGTGATGACATTACAGGGCCAAACACACTCAGACTAGAAATCTGGCAGCTGAACAGCCAGAAAGATGAACAGGGGATAGCAGAGTGGAAATGAGCAGACTTGGGAAAAGAAAACTGGGAAGGAACAAAGAGAGAGCTGTAATCAGAAATCATCTGAAGCAATGCTGTTAATATGTTATCCATAACAGAGTCCTTGATGACAGTCCAGGACTCCCAGCCCGGGCCAGGGAACTGTCATCTAGAAAGGAGTAAATTCTTACATAGGTTCATGCTATTAATAGTGACAATGCTCAGTAAATCTTACCATGTGCTCTGTAAACAAGCTTTTTATTCCTGTGGCTCAGGACAAGTCCTTCCAAATACAGAATTTATCTGTCTCCCAGCTACACAGACCAGAGGTCTAGATTTGCGCTGTGACACTGTGTATGCACGGGCTGCATGCATTTTTAGCATAAACAGGTATGATTCACCTTCCTCTTGCAAGATGTTGACCTTCTCATTTTAGTACCTCCTCCCTTCCCATATCCTACCTCTCCAAAACAGGGTGTTCCCTCCATTCTGTAGGGCATTCCCTACATATATATATCCTCTTGTGCTATGTCAACTACAGATGTATTTGTGACAGTCACCTAGGAGAGGGAGAAGTGGGTTCCTGCCTTTGTCTTAAAGATTTGACACAGTGGGAGAGTGGGAACTACATCTCCACGGTCACCAGAGAGCTATGGCAGCCTGGAGAGACAGCCTTGCCTCTTCCACTGCTTCCTCTTGAGCCCAAGGATGACAGCTGCAATGGGGAGACTGAAGTCCACAATCACAAAGCTTTCTAACCCCTTTTCTCCTAGCAAATGGGTTAAACAGCCCTGGTTCTCCCCGGTAAGAAGTGTGTGTGTGTGTGTGTGTGTGTGTGTGTTCAAACCACGTGTCCCACAGACTGGGTAAGCAGGTAGAGCTGCAACTGAAAGAGGGTAGGCTTATATTTGATATGAGAAAGAAATTATTTACCACAAAGGTGGTGAGACACTGGAATAGGCTGTCCAGAGAATCCGTGAATGTCCCATCCCTGAAAGTGTTTAAGGGCAGGCTGGATGGAGCTTTGATAACCTGGTCTAGTGAAAGGTGTCCCCATCCATGGCAGGAGGGATGGAACTAAATGATTTTTAGGGTCCCTCTCAACCCAAACCATTCTGTGATTCTATAAAATACCTTCTCAGTCCTT